CCCAGCTCAGCCCCCTGGGGCCCCTCCAGCCCAGACCCACCCCCGGCTCAGCCCCCTGGGCCCCTCCAGCCCAGACCCACCCCCGGCTCAGCCCCCTGGGCCCCTCCAGCCCAGACCCTCTCCCCCCACCCTCCCCAGCTCAGCCCCCTGGGCCCCTCCAGCCCAGACCTCCCCCACCTTTAGGGAAGGATTTATTAAAGTGGACACTCTGTATCAATGGTTCTCAACCTTTCCACATTTCCGAACCCTGTTCAGGAGTCTGGTTTGTCTCGCGTACCCCAAGTTTCCCCTCACTTACAAACTACTCGCTTACAAAATCCGACACCGAAATACACAGGTGTCCCAGCGCACAGTTACTGAACAACTGCCGACGTTCTCATTTTTACTATCGAGTGATAAACGAAGGCGACTGGACTACGAATACGGTACTTTCATTTCCAACGCGCTACCTGAGCCTGGTTTCCACTCGTGAGCCTGGTCACTCCGGGAGGTGGCGGAGCAACACCAGCAATTAGGTTTTTCTCCACCCTGAGTGTCCTCCTGCTCTTCAGCTTGCTGGCAGTCAGAGCAGAACACGAGACTTCACTGATATGTTAACCCGGAAGGTAACAGACCATCCAACGCCTGGCTCCCGAGGTCAGTGTTCTCCCTCTGCACTAAACACCAGAACTGGGCGAGTGTGGAGTCATTAACATCATTCGCAGACCCCGGTCTGACGATAGCTCAAGAAGATATTCTTGCAGGCTGGCAGAGAGCGAACATCTGACAAAATGAATGGGTTTTTTACCGACCTGAGCGGAGTTGTGTTGAACGGCCTAGCGTGGACAAATTTAGACCATTCCGCTTGCTAAATATATCTGTGAGGCGGGCAAGTTGAGCTAACCACACGTGTTGTCAAAGACAGAAGCAAGAGGGGATGAACGATCAGAAAGAAACACGAGAGCTTCCGTGCGTAATTCAAACACTCTGTTCAGTACTTTCCCTCTTGAAAGCCAGTTGCTGATGTTCGGACTCCACCTCTTCGCAAAGAACGGGAAACAGGCGAGCACGGAGCGGCCTGGACCGGAGAAAGTTGACAGTTTTGGCAGACTCATTTAAAACTTCATGCAGCTCAGAACTCATCTCTTTTGAAGCAAGTAGATGGCACAGTGCAGGCGCTGCAAGGAAGGGTTTTCTGTTCTGATCCCAGCTATTAAGTCCGTTCACTCTCCGGGTCAATGCAGCAGCCCCGTTAGGGCAGATGAATCTGAACAAATTCCAACTCAAATCGTGTTCAGAAAAAAAAAAAGTCAGTTAAACATGTCCTCTCCAGTTGAGCGGGCCCTGGATGGTGTGTGAACACCCCTGCCTCCTTTTGGGGAAGCTAGCCCCCCCAGCCTTGCCCCTTTTGCCTGAGGCCCTGCTCCCCCTGGCCCGCTGAAGCCCCAAGTCCCTCCCCCCCATGGCAGGAGTAGCCCCGGCCGACCCGCCCAAGCACTGGCCCGACCCCCGGCCAGCCTAAGCAGCCCCTGGTGGCTCTGGGCCACCACCTGGTTTGAGCCCCGAGCTCCCGGCTGCCAGCTGGAGCTGAGCCCCTACCGGCTTCAGGGGAGAGGGGGAGCGTGGGTGGGACCTCGGGGCAGAGCATGGGTGGGGCCACAGCCTGGGTTAGAGGAGGCGTAGCCTCCCCTGGCCTCTGATACTTGCTGCCGCCCATGGAGTTGTCCTTTATCCTTTCGCAAAACAGTATGTGCTCATTGATATCAGTGGTTTCCGGTATCGAACGTAAGCTTCTCCACTGATATCCGTGGACTCATCAAGCTGAAGAGCAAATGTTTTTGCCATTTTAAGTTTCCCTATAAGCTGAGAGACGATATCCCCAGCCATTTCTTCACTTCTACAGCACATGGTGTCATTTCATCAGGGTGCTTCCTGGAGCGTATCGGCTGCTTTTTTTAAAATCAAGCATGGCGCCACGGCGGCAAGCAGAATCAGATTTCCTGCAATTGTGTACATCTTCTTTGATTTTGCGACAAGAAGGGAGACCGCAGATGAAGCTTTGAGTGCATCTGTAAAAGCAGTTGAAGCTTTTTTCATTTTAAGCTGGCAAGTCTGGACCTCAGAAAGCTTTCTTTGAAAAAATTCTACTGGCTTACCCGCATGCACAGGGCGGATCTTCAAATGTCACTGCAAATGCACCGGCTTCAGACTGTTATTGGATAGTTTCTCCGCAGACGAAACATGGGGTTTTTCCCGTCATTTTCAATTTCCTACAGTTTTCACCGTCGCCACTTCCAGCTCCTCATTTTAAAAAAATCTAGGCACTTTTACATCCACACCATGACAACTGCAGCCTCGTTAACGTGCTTGAATGCCTCAGTGACATAAAACGCACGTCTAATACAGTGCGGATACGCACGTTACATTACCGCATAATAGTATATAAAGCAGTCTAAACAAGTCATTGTCTGTACGAAACTTTAGTTTGCATTGACTTCGCTAGTGCTTTTAATGTAGCCTGTTGTAAAACTAGGCAAATATCTACATGAGTTGACGTAACCCCTGGAAGACCCCTATGTACCCCCAGTTGAGAAGCATTGCTCTGCGTCCTAGTAAAGAGGAGAGGGTGGAAGTTGGTAAAGTACAGGTAGGAGCTGAAGAGAAACAATCAAACGAAAGAGAGTCCCATTCAATTACATCAGAGGAAGGCAGACAATTATATACTAACAAATTTTATAAGTAATTGTATACCTGTGCTAGAAGTCTAAACACTAAGGCTAGGTCTACACGTGGGGGGGGGGGGGGGGTCGAGTTTAAGATACGCAAATTCAGCTACGCGAATAGCGTAGCTGAATGCGACGTATCCTATTCGACTTACCCCGCTGTGAGGACGGCGGCAAATCGACCGCCCCGGCTCCCCCGTCGACGGCGCTTACTCCTCCTGACGAGGTGGGCATATGCGCGTCGATTCGGGGATCGATTTATCCGTCTAGCTGAGACGCGATAAATCGATCCCCGAGAGATCAATTTCTACCCACCGATCCGGGCAGGTATTGTAGACTAGCCCTAAGATGGGTGAACTAAGGGGTGGCATTAAATGAGGATATTGCTAGAATAGGAACCACAGAAACTTAGAAAATCAGGGTTAGAAGGGACCTCAGGAGGTCATCTAGACTTGGTGGAACAATGATAACCAATGGGACACAGTCATACCTGGGTACAAAATACATAGGAATAATGAAGTAAGTCGCGCTGGTGGGAGAGTGGCACTGTATGTGAAAGGAAGCAGAGTCCAACATAGTAAAAATCTTCAGTGAATCAGACTGTGGCACGGAATCTCTACAGACAGAAGTTCCACGCTTGAACAATAAGAGCATCGCTTCAGGAATATACACCAACCACCTGACCAGGATGGTGATGGGGAAATGCTCGGGGAAGATTAGAGAAGGTCCAAAACCAACAAATAAGGGGGGATTCCAATAATCCCCATACGGACTGGGTACATGTAAATTCAGGACAAGATGCTGCGTTAAAATATCTAGATGCCGTTAATGACGGCTTCTTGGAGCAGCTAGTCCCAGAACCCACAAGGGGAGAGGCAATTCCTGATTTAGTCCTAAACAGAGCACAAAATCCAAAAAGTTAGCGGAACCATCCAGTATCAGCAACCATAAAATTATTACATGAACATCCTTCTAGGGGGGAAATACCAAAAACCCCACATCTCGCGTAGCATTTAACTTCAAAAAGGGGAACTAAACAAAAATGGGAAAGTTAGTTAAATGGACATTGAGAGAGAAAAATGCCTGCAAGCTGCAACGAAACTATTTAAAAACATCCTAACAGAGGCTCTAACTAAATGTAAACAATCAATCCATCCATCCATACATACGAACTGTAAAAGGAGCAAAAAACCAAAGGCCATTATGGCTAAACAGCAGAGTAAAATGGCCATTAGAAGCAAAAGGGCATTCTTTTTGGAAGTCAAATCCTAGTGAGAAAAATAGAAAGGAGCATAAACTCCGGCAAGTCAAGTACAAACGTATAATTAGGCCGGCCAAGACAGAATTTGAAGAGCAACTAGCAAAAGGCACAAAAACTAGCAGGAAGGGTTTTTTTGTTTGTTTTTTAAGTACATCAGAAGCAAAGAAGTGGGCCGAACAATGAGTGGGGCCACTGGACAATTACGATGCTCAAGGAGCACTCATGGAAGACAAGGCCACTGCAGAGACGCTAGATGGATCCTTTGCATTGGTCTTCACCACAGAGGATTTGAGGGAGTTTCCCACAACTGAGACATGCTTTTTAGGTGACAAATCTGAGCAACTGTCCTAGATGGAGGTGTCGATAGAGGAGGTTTTGGAACAAATTGATAAATTAATCAGTAATACGTCACCAGGACCAGGTGGTATTCACCAACTTCTGAAGGAACTCAACTATGAAATGGCAGAATTACTAAGTGTGGTATGTAACCTATTGCTTACATCAGCCTCTGTACCAGGTGACTGAAGGGGAGCTAATGTAATGCCCATTTTTTAACAAGGCTCCAGAAGCAATCCTGGCAATTACAGGCCAGTAAGCCTGACTTCAAGACAAATTTCCTAATTTTCAGGCAAATTGGTTGAAACTATAGTAAAGAGCAGAATTATGAGACACACAAATGAACACAATATGTTGAGGAAGTGTCAGCATGACTTTTGCAAAGGGAAATCACGCCTCAATCTATGAGAATTCTTTGAGGGTGGCAACAAGCATATGGACAAGGCTGATAGAGTGGATATAATGTACTTGGACTTTTAGAAAGCCTTTGACAAGGTCCCTCCTCAGAGGTTCTTAAGCAAAGTAAGCAGTCTTGGGAGAAGAGGGAAGGGCCTTTCATTGATCAGTAACTGGTTAAAAGACAGGAACCAAAGAGTAGGAATAAAGAGAGGTAAACAGCAATGTCTCCCAAAGATCTGTATGGGACCAGTGCTGTTCAACATATTCATACATAATCTGGAAAAGGGGGTAAATATTGAGGTGGGGAAAGTTTGCAGAGGATACTAAGGTATTCAAGATAGTCAAGTCCAAAGCAGGCCATGAAGAGTTACAAAAGGGATCTCACCAAACTGGGTGACCGGGAAAAAATGGCAGATGAAATGCAATGTTGATAAATGCAAAGTAATGCACATTGAAAAAAATAATAATCCCAACTATTCATACAAAATGATGTATTAACTGTTATCATGCAAGAAAAGAGATCTTGGAATCACTGTGATTAGTTCCCGGAAAACATCTGCTCAACATGCAGTAGCAGTCAAAAAAGCAAACAGAATGTTGAGAACCACCAGGAAAGGGGTAGATAGTAAGACAGTAAATATTATAATACCACTCTATAAATCCATGGTACGATCACACCGAGAATACTGCCCGCAGTTCTGGTCACCCCATCTCGAAAAAGCTTTATTAGAATTGGCAAAATGATGAGGGGGATGGAACAGCTTCCAAATGAGGAGAGATTAAAAAGCCTGGGATTGTTCAGCTTGGAAAAGAGACAACTAAGGGGGGGAATAGGGAGAGGTCTATAAAATCATGACTAGTGTGGAGAAAATGAATAAGGAAGTGTTACTTATCCCTTCACATAACATAACAATCAGGGTCACTCAATGAAATTAATAGGCAGCTGGTTTAAAACAAATATAAGGAAGTACTTTACATAAATCACAGTCAACATGTGGAACTCATTGCCAGGGGATGTTGTGAGGGCCAAATGTATAACTGGGTTCAAAAAAAAAAGAGAGGTAAGTTCCTGGAGGATTGGTCTATCAATGGCTATTAGCCAAGATGTCCAGGGACGCAACCCCATGCTCCAGGTGTCCCTAAACTTCTGACTGCCAGAAGCTAGGACTGGATGACAGGGGATGGAATGCTATATAATTGCCCTGGTTGTGTTCATCTAGCACCAGCTACTGTCGGAAGAGAGGGTACTGGGCTAGACAGACCACTGGTGTGCCCCAATATGGCCACTCTTATGTTCATTCCCCCCCCCAAAAAAATATTGGGATTTCATCAAAAAAACAAAAGCTTTTTGGTTTCCCAATGAAGAACAGAAGATTTCCCAAGTCACTTCACCTCTCCTGGTACATAAGAATGGCCATAGTGGGTCAGACCAATGGTCCATTTAGCCCAGTCTTCTGACAGTGGCCGATGCCAGATGCTTCGGGGGTGTACACAGAACAGGGCCCAGTGGTTAGAGCACTAACCTAGTAAGTACTTGGGCTACGTGGCCAATTCACTGCTCTGCCACAGACTGGTCTACGCACCTTATCGCCATCTGTAAAACAGGATTACAGCACTGCCCTGCCTCTCTGGAGGGTTATGAGGATAAATATGGTAAATATTGTGGGGTGATGAGGGCGAGACAAAAACCTGAACGAGGCGGAGTGACTCCCCGGTACTTAGGATCACAGAGAGTTGTAGTGCTTTAGAGACAGGCTGGGCATTGAGGCCTTTTCAGGCTAAACGTAAGATGTGGCAGGCAGTGAAACTACAGGGGGGTGAAGGATCCAAGTGGGACCCCGAACGTGCTTTTAAAGTGGGCCTCACACTCGAAGGAAAAGTTAACAAAGTTTGGGGAAAGCAGTAACTGGTTTGTTTTGTCCTTAAAACAGCATTTCCTGCAGTACAGTGCCCCCTAGAGCGCTGGTGCTGTATTGACTCAGGGCAGCTATGTACCAGCCCCACTTCCTGCAGCATGACGCCCCCAGAGCACTGCTCCTGTATTGATTTACAGGGGAAGTTCCCTAGCACCCAGCCCCACTTCCTGCAGCATGACGCCCCCAGAGCACTGCTCCTGTATTGATTTACAGGGGAAGTTACCAAGCAGCCAGCCCCACTTCCTGCAGCATGGCGCCCCCTAGAGCATTGCTCCTGTTTTGACTTACAGGGGAAGTTACCTAGCACCCAGCCCCACTTCCTGCAGCATGGCGCCCCCTAGAGCATTGCTCCTGTTTTGACTTAGAGGGGAAGTTACCTAGCACCCAGCCCCACTTCCTGCAACACGGCGCCTCCTGGAGCACTGCTCCTGTATTGACTTACAGGCAAGGTTACCTACCACCAGCCCCACTTCCTGCAGCATGGCAGGACTCCCTTTCCCTTGGTCTCCCATCCAAGCACTGACAGGGCCTGGCTCTCCTTAGCTGGGGGTGGGATGAAACATATTACAGCATGCGGCATAAATCTACGATACCGGCTCCCTGACACTTTTCTCTGACGTTTCTATCCAGCTGAAACCGTATCGCCCTCTGGACTCCCACGCAGGGCACGTCACAAGCACCGTGGCCTGGAGGCAGCCCCGGGTGACTTTACCCAAGCTGGTGGGTTGACAGCAGCGATCAGTTTGGCCCAGCGCACGACTACAGAGCTGAACATTAACTCCCTCCAGTTTCCAAAGGAAAATGCTCCACTCTGCAAGCCAAGCAGTCCCTCGTGGAAATGAGCAATGCAAAGTCCGCAACACATGTGATCACTTTCCATTCAGTGCAGAGTCATCTTATTTAGCCTTGTTTCAAAGACCCCAGCTGCCAGGTTTCCCTCAGCTCCCTTGGAAGGGGGCCATGTTATCTGGCCAAAACGTAACTCCTTTACATTCCTCAGTCCTGCCTCTTTAAACGGCCCATGTTACTGCCTCCAGATTTACCAAGGTAACCGATCCAGGGGATCCCTCAGTGGTTTCCACACTTCGCTGCATCACCTGACACCAGCACGCCTCTGATAAGCCTGGAATTCTTGAAGCCCGGTCCCATGGGGTGTCAAAAGCAGCAAGGGAGGAGGATCTGGTGCGAGATGGCCGAGCTGGGAACAGGGGTAAGGTCATGCCCAGCCCCAGAGCGTTATGCGGGCCAGCTCCCCACTGATGTAAACCAGCACAGAGCCATTGTAGTCACTGAGGCGACACGGATTAGCACCAGCGGAGGTGCCCATGTACTACAGGGACGGGTGCTTCACAAAAGCAGGCGGCTGGTGACGACTCTGCTGTACAGCCAAGAGGTCTCCCCATCTCTCCCCATGGGCCAGGATCTGTGCACCCAAGGGACCGTCCCACCCCACCAGTGCAACCTCTAGCAGTGGGAAAGGCCCGGCCAGAGACAACACCCCACCCCGCGCATGGCGCGCCTTCCTGTCCTGACCTGAATCCGGAGGCTGACGATTCCTCTCGATCTTCCGGATGTCATCCAACGTGACCCCATCTTCGCTGAAGAGCCCGCCGTGCATTATCTGGCAGGGAGCAGAGCACAGGTCAGGGGCGGGGAGAGGGCACTCAGATAGGTCAGGCCCTAGCGACGAGCTGGCCTTAAGCTTCCACACGCCCCAATGGGAGGGGGGCACGAACAGCTGGGAAGGGGAGTACATGGCAACGGGGCACGTCGGAACCCTGCTCTGACCGGGGTTTAACACGCTCAGTGTCCTCCCAGACCAGCTCCGAGAGAGGTAACGGAGGGGCTACAGCAGGGGTGGGCAAACTTTTTGGCCCGAGGGACACATCTAGGTATGGAAATTGCATGGTGGGCCATGAATGCCCACAAAACTGGGGGTTGGGAGGGGGTGAGGGCTCCATCTGGGGGTGTGGGCTCTGGGGTGGGGCCAAAAATGAGGAGTTCAGGGTGCAGGAGGGTACTCCGGGGCTGGGACTGAGGGGTTGAGAGGGCGAGAAGGGGATCAGGGCTCGGGTAGGGGCGTGGGAGGGTGTCAGGGGTGCAGGCTCTGGGCAGTGCTTACATCAAGCAGCTCCCAGAAGCACCGGCATGTCCCCCCCTCTGGCTCCTATGCAGAGGCGTGGCCAGATGGCTCTGCGCGCTGCCCTGTCTGCAGGCGCCACCCCTGCAGCTCCCATTGGCCACAGTTCCCAGCCAATGGGAGCTGTGGGGGCAGCGCTTAGGACGGGGGCAGCATGCAGGGCCCTCTGGCTGCCCCTATGCATAGGAACCGGAGGGGGGACATGCCACTGCTCCCGGAAGCTGCATGGAGCGGGACAAGCCCTGGACCCCACTCCACGGCGGGAGCTCGAGGGCCAAATTCAATCTGGAGGGACGGATTCGACCCCCAAGCCATAGTTTGCCCACCCCTGGGCTACAGGTACATCCAAGCCATGGAGGTGCCCAGAATTACACACAGGGCCTTGGGCTACTCTCCATGCCCACTGCCGGTCCGGACACGTGCCCCCCCGAGGTGCTGCGTTCTGCTCTCACCAACACTTTGCCATTGATGCATTGCGCCAGGGGCAGCCACTCAAAGACCTCGCTGAAAAGCGCAAACATCTGGGCTGTGTATTTGGCTTTCACCTCCCCCTCAAACCCGTAGATCTGGTTCATGTTGTCCGTCTCGTGATTCCCTGGGGGCCAAAGAGATGGGGGAAGGAGGAAAAAAAAAACAAAAATCAACCAACCAATGGGGGACCAGCTGGAGAGAGGAGAGCCGCCCAGCTCCGGCCGACAGACAGCCAAGACTGGCTGTCGCCCCCTCCCCAGGGAGTCTGAGCAGTTCACTGCAGCACGGAGCGCCAGAACAGCAGTGAAAGGTTTAATGCATTAGTAAAGGTCAGCGTGGCTGATCCCCCAGGAAGCCCCCGGGTCACTGGGCTGATCTGACAGCTCTGCCGTTCCCAGGCTTCGCAAATGGGCTGCTTACAGCCAGCAGTAACAAGCGGGAGAGGGCGAGTTTTACTGCTTTAGAGATTCACTGATGCCAAGGCCAGACAAGAGCATCTAGTCTGACTCCTGCATAGCACAAGCCAGAGAATTGCCCCCGAACAATTCCTAGGACAGCTTAGCTATTCGAGCTGCGCCCACTGGAGCGGGATGTGGGGGGTCACCTCGTTAACCCTGCGCTACCTGGCTCCCTCATGCATTTCTGAGTGAAATTCAAGCAATGGCTTTTAACCTGGCCTCCCACACTCCAGTATCCGAGCACCTCTTAATCCTTAATGCATTTATCCTCCCAGCTCTGCGGTGAGGCCAGGCAGGACGAATATCCCCATTTGAGAGATGGGGAAATGGAGGCGCAGAAAGACTAGGGGACTTGCCCCAGGTCACACAGGGAGTCTGTGGCAGAGCTGGGGACTTGAACCCAACTCTGCCAACAGCTAGGCTTGTGCCCTAACCACTGGGCCATCCTTCCTTCCTCTCTGGAGGCTCTACTGAGCCCCAACTGGCTTGTGAACTGGGATGCTTTCCTGTGTTCGTACAGTGATCAACCAGGATTGGAAAGCAACTCCCACACCTTCATCTGTTTAGCTGAAAGAGAAGGTGAAGGGGTGACTTGATCACAATCTGTAAGTACCCACATCGGGAACACATATGGGATCACGGGCTCTTCGATCTAACAGACAAAGGTCTAACAAGAGCCAACGGCTGGGAGTTGAAGCGAGACAAATTCCGACTAGAAATAAGGATTTTTAATTTTTCACAGTGAAGAGAATCAGCCAATTGCACCAGTTTATCAAAGGCTGGGCTGGATTCTCCATCAGTGGCCATTTTAAAATCAAGACTGATGGCTTTTCCAAGGGCAGGTCTACGCTACGGCAGGGATCCACTCAGAGATTGATCCACCGGCGGTCGATTTAGCGGGTCTAGTAAAGACCCGCCAAATAGACTGCAGATCGCTCTCCAGTCGATCCCTGTGCTGATGAGAAGAGTAAGGTAAGTTGACGGGAAGTTTTCTCCCGTCGACTCCCCTCTCCCCCCGCAGTTAGACCCCGCGGTAACTCGACCTAAGGTACGTTATTCACGTAGCTGGAGTTGCGTAGCGTAGCGTAGCTCGACCGGATGATCACAGTGGGCCCCTCTGGCCTTGCAGGAAGTGATCCATGAAAACAAAGCACTCTGGGTCTGGCAGGCCTTAAATGGGGCTCTCGCAGCTGCTGCTCAGTGGAGGGCCTCTAGCTGGGGTAACCGCTCCCCTCGCAAAAGTCACCCAGCGCCTGGGCTGGTTGGCAAAGCTCAACTTCTCAAGCACGCGGAAGGGTGTGAGGGGAGACACCTTTCTCTTGTTCCTGGCAGGGAAGAGGTTAATATTGCTGCCCAGCGGGAGTGGTGATAGCTGCTAGACAGGCGTGATCGCCCTGAGGAACTTGGTTCTCTTGTGGACGGGGGCGTCAATTTGGGTGGGTTTAACTCAAAGCAGACTTTGCGATTGGGCTGGTGAATTTTCTGGTTTGGCTGAGTTAGCTTTAGGGGAGGGATTCACCCAGGTCTTTTCAGATACGCAGGCTTAGATACAGCCATGAAATAATATCAATGGGTGGGTCACAGTCTCCGAGCCAGAGACCAACTGAAAGGGCGTGAGATAGCTGGGAAAGGAGAGGAAAGGAGTGAAAGCCAGAGCACCCAGGAAATTCTGCATTTCCATGATGATCCCTATGATCCTCTCCAGCTGGGGAATCCCAGAGACAGCAGGGGGATTTGGAGAAGCCAGTTTTGCTAAGAAAGGGAACTCCAACTCTGGGTCTCAGCTGCAGGCTGGGGAAGCACCAGGAAAACAGTCAGCGGAGGGGACAGTTTGGGGAGTTCTTGCCCCGACTTGAGTACAAAGCAGAGCTCTCCAGTGGCTTATTCCCCCTCTCCCACCCCCCCACCCCCTCCCCCCCAAGGTGGGATGGGACTGCACTTACCACGGAGTAAGTGGAAATGATCCGGATACAGCAGCTTAAAACCGAACAGCGTTAATATCACTTCCACGGAGAAGGAGCCACGGTCAACGAAATCCCCATTGAATATCTGCCAAGGGGGCTGCGCTCAGGAAAAAGGGCCCAGGCGTCACTCTGGGATGAAGAACACTGCGATCCACCTTAGGTACTCGTGTGCCCCCCACAACACAACCACGCACACACACACGGTACTGGAGCAAGCAACCCTGGGAATTGCCATTTTACAGAACCAAAGCAAGGAGAGGCTAACGGATTGGCTCAAGATCACACAGGCACTTAAACCCTGGTCTCCAAGCCCTAGCCACTGGGCCGGCCTTCCTTCCCACCCTTTCTGCGCCTTTCCTCTCCCCAGTGATGTTTTTCTGAAGCCTCTTTCCCAGTCCCACCCAAAGGCCTGACAGATGGTGGGTGACCCCCCCCCCCCGCAGCTTCTCTCCCCGGAAAGCATCTCAGAGGCATCCCAGCACACCCCAGCACCAGCATTCCCTCTAATTTTTCCCACGCGTATGCGGAATGAATTTTGTTAAGTGCACCAATATGGAGGTGGTGTGTGACACGTCACAATACATGTGGTGGGGGTGGGGCCAAGGAGTTCGGAGTGTGGGAGGGGCCTCAAGGCTGGGGCACTGGGGCCTCCGGCTGGGGGGTGTGGACTCTGGGGTGGGCCTGGGAATGAGGAGTTTGGGGTGCAGGCTGCCCCGGGGCTACAGTGGGGAGAGAGGACTCCCCCAGCTCTCTCTCCCCACAGCAGCACCTGGGCTGGCGGGGAGAGGTGCCTCTTCTGCAGCAGGTCCGGGGCTGAGCTGGGGTCAGGGCGCCTCTCCCCCGGCCGTGGGGGATCCGGGGCTGGGCTGGGGCCAGCGGGAAGAGGTGTCTCTCCCCACCACAGCAGGTCCGGGGCTGGGGGAGAGGCATCTCTCCCTGCCGCAGCCCTGAGCGCCTGCGTGGCACTTAATAGGCTGCTGAGCGACTGCGCAGCTTAGAAAGAATTTAGCCCAGCACCACCAAGATGTAGTTTGAACTCATTCCCGAAGCCCTCCGACTCAGGACTCGTGCTCGGTTGTCAAGCTCGACAAAGGAGCCACCCGCCCCAGCACGGCAGTCAGGAATGGGTCACTATGGGAGTATGACCTCTATGCCGATCAGGACCGTTTCCCGCACAGTACAAATGGGGAAACCGAGGCACAGGAAGGGGAAGCAATACATCCCAACGCTGGTCTGTCTCCTAGCCCTGTCACCTCCTGTTCTTAGAGAGCGCCTCCATCCGCACACGTCACATGCTGGATCAAAGGGGGAACCAGCCAAGGATACATATGGGTTCGTTTCAGACGGCAGCCCATTCAGTTCAAATATATTCAGCAAGTCGTAATACTGCCCGTGGGTGTCTCCACACACGGTGACCTTCTCTGTCTGGAAGAAGAGAGGCCGAGAGAGGAGAAGAGGAAAAGGAGACAGAAGAAAAGTAAAACTCAAGCCAGACAGAGCTCCTCTCGCCCTGCAGGATCCCAAAGCACTTTGCAAAAGTGGCTTCAGCCCACCGCGGAGACACAGCCACCTCTGAGGTGGGACGCGGCAGCTGTTTATACTGGGATCCCTCACCCAGCACAGAAACTCAACCACGTCTGGGGTGGAGCGTGGCAGCTGTTCATCCAGTGATCGCTTCCCCATCCACCTCTGGAGGGGGCGTGGCAGGTGTTTAAACAGGGATTGCTCACTGTTCTAATAATTGGGCCTATAAATTTACCCTAATTGCAAGCTCAATTCTAAAAAGTGAGTATATGTTTAATAACCTATAACGATGACTGTTGATGGGAAAAGGTGCCAAAGGGAGACAAAAAGACTGAATCAGTCTAAACCCAAAGGCCTACTGATATAATTCAACGACTGTGTTAAGATCATGCCTGGGAAACAAGTGTGGGACTGGAAATCAACGAACCAAAATTGGCGTGTCGGAAAACAGGCTGAACGGCGGACAAAATAATGAGAGGATGGGCTATTCCAGCCATCACGCCCTTCCGGGGTCCTCCAAAACAGACTTCAGGGGAGGAGAAAGCTGGCAGCCATGGGAACAATTTACCAAGACTCATGGTGGATTCTCCATCACCGATAAGTTTTAAATCCAGAGCAGCTGGTTTCCCAAAGGATCTGCTCTAAGAATGACTGTGGGGAAGCTCGCTGGCCGGGGTTATGCAGGAGGTCGGATTAGATGACCGCAATGGTCCCTTCTGGCCTTGGAATCTATGAAACCGTGAGGCTGGCTGACTCAGACAGATACTTCACTATCATGACTGCTACGCCCACCATCTCCTGGGACCCTGGAACGTCGTCATCCCAATCCCGAGACCAGACCAGGTCAGAGAGAGGAAGCCAGATGTCACCTCCAGCAGTTCCGGCTAAATCCTGAATACTACCTGGGACTTTGTCTCCTTCTTCCAATGTGCCCTTTCCCTTCCCTACCTTATTTCTTCTCTTTCCTGTCTCTCTCCATTTTCCTTCTGTCTAATGAGTCTGGCTTAGCCGGCCAACACTGCTGTAAGCCTGGGACCAGAAAGAGGCAGCCCAGAGTAAGGCCCTAAACAGCCCGATGCTGGTACGAGTTTGCCAGGTCTCAGAGTGGCTGATCAGACCAGGGGCTGGGCTTGAGTTTTTCCAGCAGCGAGGCTGCAAGTGAAAGTTAACCGCAGACAGAAGCTGCTTTCTGGTCTCCTCTCCTCTTTCAGACTTTAACAGCGGCCGCTCAAGCGCATCTCAACTAACTTTGTCTCTTTTCCCCAAAAGGTACAGTAACTACCATCTGTAATGCCGTCTAAAAGACTGGCAGAGACGGGGAGTTTCTTTCTAAAATCTGTCCAGCTAAAGGGAAGGGGAACAAGGGATGCTGTTAAAATGAAAGCTCGACTTACTATTTTACATTTCAACCTGTTTTTCTGTATCTTGAATAAAAGATTAAAATGACGTTTAATAATGCGCTTGCCGTGATGCTAAGCAGACTGCAGTCCCCACACCTTGTTCAATTCTGTTTAATGTTGGACAGTTGCAGGGCCAGGTTAACGCTTTTGACTCGTTGGGCCCATATGCTCCATCTAAATTAATACATCAGTGGTGAAATGCAACCACCTCTGGGGTTGGACATGGCAGCTGATTAACAGGGCACAATAACACTGCACGCATTGAAGACACAAGGAGAAGACTGGGTCCAGTTTGACCAGCAGGAATTTAGGGAGACAAGGCGGGTGAGGTAATAGCTTTTATTGGACCACCTCATCTCTCTAATATCCTGGGACCAACACAGCTATAACTATACTGCATCCAGGAATTTAGGGAGGGAGGTTGGAATCACATGCATCTGAATCAACGATAACGGCATCACCCTGCTGGGGCAAGGCAGGAAGTATGTAACTCAAGAGGAAGACCATGGCCTATTTCAAACAACCCCGCCCCTTTGTGGGCTCTGACCCTGGTTACAATAGCAATGGGTGGATCAAAGGACAGACAGGTCAGAGCCTCCCACTGCAATCCGGAAAGCTGTTAAACAGCTGTTCAGCCAGCTGCAAACGCTCTCAGATCAGGGTTGGACACCTTTCCCCCTCCCACTCCACTGCCCCATGCTGCAGCAAGAAGTGGCTTAGCCGGCCAGGGATGGATCTCCACTGCTCCAGGGCCCCATACAGGTTAGCCGGGCAAGCGCCAAGGGAGGTGAGGTCAGATGTGGGAGGAGACATGGCATGGATTGAAGAGCTGCTCATAGGCAGTGCAGGCAGGCCGTGGCTCAAGTTACACCACAGGTGTTTTGGCCCCCAAGCAGCCTGTGGGGGTGGGGTATGAAGCCACCGGAGCTTCTGCTCACTCAGCACTGCGGGTTTGGGATCCGAACCCACCCCCCGGTTATACAATGCACATCCCAGGACCTGCCACCCCCAGGCTGCAGAGAAGGATACCCACCTCTTTTAACGTGGTTTCTACTAGTGTGGGAAGTTTGACAAGCACCTCCTTCACCTGCACCAAGATCTGCCCAAGGGGAAAAGGGAAGAGTTAGCAAGGGCAGGAAATGAACGACACAGCCCTATCTCCAGATACACAGGAGATAGCCCTGTCTCCCGCCCTTTCCCAGCATCTTGCTGGGCGAGTCCCTGGCCTTGTAAACAAGGGGCCTGACGTGCAGGATGGACAGTTCAGCTCCCAGCATGCAATGTGCCATCTCGATGACTCGGAAGCACTGCATGCTGGGACGTGTAGTCTTTGTGGCTCCCTCTATGTTACAGGGTGACACTGGCTGGCTCCATTTTACACCCTGGACTCCTGTCGGCCTGCCGCGGCAGTCTGTCACCCACAGCCGGGAAAGAGGATGCCAGCTCCTCCTGAAGAGGAGGCGAAGGATTCCACGCATGAGCCTCCCGCCCTATGGCAGGGCGGGCGGGCAATTACCTGATAGGCACATTTTCTGTGGAGTTTCTTTTGATCCTTGTACCACTGCATTAACTCCTTCATGAACGCTAGCGTCACCTTCCCGTTGTCCAACTTGGGGCCACTGTACTCGTCCTCGATGGCTGGCAGACGCGGAGACGGGAGGAGAGCAGAATCACTCGTTAGCGACAGGATGGCACCCAATAATCCAGAGCCCTGCGGGCACTGCCCCACCCACCACCGCTGCTTCCACGGGCTGCCCACTTCCACCCAGCTGCACCCTACACATCCCCAGCTGCACAGAAATCCACTCCTTCGTGCATCAGCTCCAAGTGCTTAAGCGCCGAAGCTGCCAAAGGCAGTGTCGTCAGGGGACTGATCCTGCCAGAGGCGGAGTCCCCTTGATTCCCACTCCAGAGGGCGCTCGACGCAGCATGGGATGAAGCCCCATCGGCTCAAACAGGCTCTGGAACCAAAGACATTCACCTGACAGAGGGACACTGATCAAAAACCCTCCATGAATTGTCCAGGGGAGCCTGGTAGAGGAGACTGAGCTGGGACAGGCAGAGAAGCGGATTAGGTGCATGTTTTGGGCACAGGAGCTGCTCTCAGGTAGGAAGAACTGATTCCTACCACAAGCACAAAGCTCTGCTGAGCTGAAATCAACACGTGGGCGGATGGTCCTGTAGCCATTTGCTCAGTAAAGGGGCCGGCACTCGGAATTTGTAAGCGCTCCTCTTCCCAAACGTTGAACAACAAGGGCAATTAACCACTGGAACCAACTCCGAGAGAAGGGGTGGATTCTCCACCTCTCGACGGCTTGAGGTCAAGACCTTTCCGGAAGAGACACTTAGCCCATCATATGTTAAGGGACTCAACACAGGGGTAGTGGGATGGGTGTTATGCAGTAGATCAGACTAGATGACCTAACAATCCCTCCCGGCAATAAAGTTGAGGAATCTGTGCCCCCAAAGGGTCAGAATTTCAAGAGATCTCAGCACCCAATCGCATGAGCTCTTCAGAAAAATCTGGCCTAGGTGATGTTTTGCTCTGATGCTGGAGTCAGAAAATCCTGTTTCCTTGTAATTTTTCCAGCTGGAGGGCTATTTATAGACACTCTGGGATCACTGCTTAAACGGCTCAGCTTTTCCCAACCGCTGCTGCCTAGTTACTTATTGGCCTTTCCCCATATTATTATTTGTATGACTGTAGCACCTTGGAACCCACCCCATTCCCTCAGCTCAGCAAGACAGGAATGCTGGTCCAATTCCCAACAGCGTGTGTTCGATTTACACAAGCAGTAACTTTTATTGTCCTGCACGACAAAGTTCACTTATGGGTGAGGGAAGTTAACCGCAGTTTGTGGAGTCAGGTCTGACTCAGAGAACCAAAAAATTGGAAGTGAAGAGCCCCAATCAACCAGAGCTAATCCAGTGGCTCCCGGCCAGCTGTCTGCCCTGCAATACGTGACAACACATCTACTATCTACCGCAGACACACCCTTGAAAGCAAAGAAGTGCAAAGGGGTGAAACCATCAGCGGCGCTCCAGCCCCTTTACGCAGAAGAGCCAAAGTGGTTTAAAGGGGCCTAAACCCCACCAGATCCAGCCAGGCCAGGATTCTCCCCGGTGCAGGCACTGTGGAAGACAGCTGTAAGGCTGTCAGCAGAGGACCCTTTCAGAAGCGCTGGCATAAGGGGGTGTTGGGGTCAGGACGCAACCTATAGTGCTGTGACTTAGGCCCCCAGGACTATCTAAGATATGCCGGTGGGGCCTTTCCAGCCCCTGAAGCACCCCAATATTGGGAGGGCATAAAAGTGGCTCAAAGCCACCTTAGCACCCCCCTACTCTCAGCTGTACCCTAGCTCTCAGTAGACCCCCCAAAGGCACCCGAAGTTTGTATCTTCTACTCCTCCAGCCAGACACCCCCCTCCCTAGCCAATACACCACAGCCTTCGCAGTTCCCCCAAACACACCCTATGAAGGACACTGTCAAGTCACGGATTGTATAAATCTGGCGCTCTCTGGTTGGAAAAGGACACACATTCCTCTCTTGCCATGCCGACTGATTGGGTTGACACAGGGCCAGGCTGACAAATCTAAGACCCCAGAATGTCTGTAAATAGCCCGGAAGTCAGGAGGTTACGAGGAAAAAGGATTTGGGTGATTCATCCAAAAAAAAAAAGGGGGGGGGGGGAGGAGAGCAAAGCCAAGCCACCTCACCTGCGTGGTGTGTGAAATAGATGGCTTTGATCCTACAGCCTGGTTCCCCGAGCCACCAGACTACCTGGGCCTCTTCCTGAGACATCTGAAACATCAAGGGGAAGAGGGAGCCTTTTGCTCTTATAAATGAAGCAAATTTGATCGAAGTCGCTGACAGAAAACAGCCCACAATGCTCTTCTGGCAGAACCCCTTTTTACAAGCTCGGCACGGCACTCACTCCGAGGGGCTACCAGTTGAGTCTGGTTTCCAGAGTCGGGAAGCCTGCGTCCCTGCCACGGGCCCTTCTGATACTCGCAGGAGAGCGGGGGAGAGGGTTACAGCCCCTGATCGGGACTTGGCAGAGCTGAGTTTAATTCCTGCCTCCGCCATGAACTCGCTGTGTGGTCTGGGGCAAGAGTTTTCAGAAGTGACTACGCAGGTTTTCATTAAATCAACAGGAGTTGGGTGGCTCAGTCCCTCAGGGCTGGGTTTTCAAAGATGTTTAGGAGCCTAAAGATGCAGCTAGGTGCTTAACTAAGGTGGGATTTTCCATGGTGCCTGGGCAGGTGAGGTGCCAAAACCCCCATTGATTTCACCTGCTTAGGTGCCTCTGAAAATCCCACTAGGTGCCAATCTGCCTCTTTAGGTGCCTAAATCCCTTGAAAACCTGTCCTAAGGGTCTGAGGCACCCAAGTCTCCATGACTTTGGATGTTTTACAAATGGAATTAAGGCACTTTTGAAAGATTTATCCCTAATCTTTCTGGGTCTCAGCTCTTCATCTGTAAAACAGGGATAGCAATTGTTCCTTTTTCCCTCGCCTCATCTGTTCAGACTGCAAACTATCATAGGCAAGGACTGACTCACTGTGTACGTGTACTGCCTGGCAGAACGGGGGCGCTGATCCCTAGCACATGTTACTGTATAGATAGATTCAAAAGCAACCAGGATTTTCCAGCTTCCAATCCTGGGTTTTAGTCATGAATCAGCAGCCTTTGTGGTCAGGGTAACACCACCCTGAACCTGCCCCAATTCTCTGTAAGGATGCCAGAGGCACATGGGATCCGGCTTTCTCGGAATCATACACACATATTCCTCTCCAGCAACGTCCTTGCAGTCTCAAGCCGATCACACACACAAGGTGTGGTGCGGGTGATCGCGGCGTGAGAGCCCAGATTAAAACTACACAGAGCAGAGGCGACACAGAGGCCAACTAGCTATTATATTAGGCCCAGAGCCACACCTTTTGGTAGCTGCGTTCATGAGACATGCATCATTCACGAGGCACTTATGGCAAGATATCCATGCAATAGGAAGCAAGACCAGATCATAGTCTCCTCTGACTTCCTGTACAGCGCATGCCGGAGTATTTCCCCTGTACCGAGCCTAATCACTTGCGTGGGACTGAGGTGTCTTTCAGCAAGGCAGCCGGGCTGGACTGGGAGACATCAAGGCCTGGAGAACCCACCACTTCCCTGAGCTGTTTGTTCCAGTGGTTAGTCACCCGCACTGGTAAGCATTTGGCTCTGATTTCCAGCTGGAATTTCTCCGGCTTCACCTGCCAGCCATTGGTCCCTTTTCTGCCTTTCTCCGCAGACATCAGAGCCCTTCATTTCCTGGCTCTTTTCTGCACCCTCGACAATTCTGCGACATCCTTTTTTAAAATGCAGGCACCAGAGCTTGGACGCAGGATCCAGCGTCGGCTCGCCAAGGCCGGGTACAGAGGGAAAAGCCCCTCCCGGCCCCTACTCACTATCCCCATTTCAACATCCAAGGGTTCCAATAGCCCGCTGTGCCCCAGCCAGTTCTCCCCCAGCACCCCTGGAATCCACGTGACCAGAGAAGCCAGGCCCGGAGCCCCGCAGCCCAACTCACTCATGCTCTCTATGTCCAGGGAGTCGACCACAGATCGCTTGTGCTCGTCGCTGGCAATGGCGCGCTCAAATGCCTTCTGCTTCACGATCTTGTTGCACTCCTGATACTTCATCTTGGCGTCTTTGTCGTTTGGCTTCACCTTCACCACCTGGAAGGGGGAAAGCACAGAGTCCATTACAGGTCAGCGTCAGGTAGGAGGTAGAAATGGAGGGAAAGGCAGACAAAAGGGTATGACAAGTAGAGGCCCGGGGAAGTGTGAGACTTGGCATTAGGCTGGGAGGCAGGACTCCTGGGTCCTATCCCCAGCTCTGGGCGGGGATTGGGGCCTAGTGCTTAGAGCAGGGCAGGCTGGGAGTCAGGACTCCTGGGTTCCCCTAGCTCTGTAGTGCTGGGCACACCGCTTAGTCTCACCCACTGAAAACATGGTGACCCCCTTAAAAGGCACCGTCATTATTGTTTGAGGGAGGTGGGCCTGCACCCCACCTAGTGGCACTATAACGCTGCTGGGGGAACCATGAGCAGGCGGGACCTGGACACACATGGGGCAGAAGTTAGGGGGCTATTTTTCTGGACATCACCACACCTGTGTGTCCCAAACGATGGGACCTCTCCCTTTCCCCGGAGAGACAGTTCAGTCTAGCCTGCCTGACTGATGGGAAACATTCCCCAGGACAGGGGCTAAAGATCCCTTTGTTCAGTTCATCCCAGTCCTACCTGTCCCCCACCCCGTTTTGACCCATCACCCTCCTGGGTGCAGACGCCCTCCACGGCTAGCTCTGCTCTCAGCTACACCCAGGTGATGTTACCGACCAGGTGTTGGCAAAGGCAGAACTCGAGGCAGAGCGTTGCAATGCCGGAGGGGACCGCGGCGCTGACGCTGGGTTCCCAGCAGAGCTCCCCGGCTCGCACTCACCGTCTCATAGTCACGCAGGGCGGCCTTGAACTTGCCCAGGGCCATGTTGCTGGTCGCCCGCCGATAGTAGCCTTTGATGTACTTCTTGTCCAGCTCGATGGCCTTGGTGGCGTCGGAGAGCGCGTAGCCATAGCACTCTGTCCGCAGGTAGGCCAGGCTGCGGTTGCCGTAGTAGATGGCATTGGAGGGGTTCAGGTCGATGGCCTCGCTGTAATACTTCACAGCGTTCTCGTAGTCCTTGCCTGGGGGGGAGCAGAGCAGAGACGGGGCGTCAGCGGGATGACCGGGACCGAGCAGCACCGGGGGACCCAGGAGCATTTCGCGGGGGTAACAGATCCATTCAGGGGCAGCAACAGCAGCAGGAGACGGCCTACAGCCCTGGGCTGTCCCCGAGCTCTCTCTGACGCGCCAGACAGGATCGAGGGCACGAGTCAGCAGAACTGAGGTTCCCCCACCTCAGCAATGACAGTGCAGGGCACTCTCCCCAGGGCACTGCCAGCTACCTCCCCAGCGGTGCCAGCCAGGACTTCCAGAGGGGGTGAGCCTGCCTGCCCCAGCCCTGGCAAGCCAACAGGGCCCCTTTCCCACTCCTGCAGTGCCTCCCCACTGTAAAGGTGGCACCTACGGGTCCATCCAGCGTTCACAACAGCCCTCGGGCACCCAGGGCTCCCCTGCACCTCTCCAGAACTCAAGCCGTCCCCCGGCGATTTTGCCAGAACGTGGCCGGGGGCCCCTCCCCACCCTGAAGCAGAACATGTTGGGATTGGCCCAGCCCCACAGTGCTACATCTCAGGCCTAGAGAGGAAGACAGAGCCTATAAAGCCTTTGTCCACCCCCAACCCCCTCAGAGAGGCGTTCTGAAGTACAGTGGAGTAGAGCGAGAGAGCCTAGAGCATGGGGCCTGGGGCAAGACCTGAGGCCTGAACCACTGTCAGCAAAGCCAGGCCATGCTAGGAGCCAACGTCAGGCCCTGTCATCGAACAGACACTTGCTTACAAGTTCACCATGCGGCACATGAACTTGGCAAAACCCCGCTAGCCGTGCCTGAGACCCAGGTGCTCCTGAAGCCTAGGCACTGGGTGTTCATGTAAACACATCCCAGAAGAGAAGACTCACCCAGGTCCACCCTAATCGAGCACAAGATAAGATGGTTTGACAGAAGTGATGAATCGGGATGTTTTGTCCGAGACATCAGCAGCAAGGTACAAGGGGAGGTAACCGATGTCAGGAAGCACAGAAGGTGGTACGTAAGATGTTTGTTCACCGTACCAATATCAACATACCACCCCCGATTCTTCGTGCTGGCTTAGGGGACAACTTGACGTTGAACGTGCTGGTACCTTGTCACGAGCACACAAGCAGTGCACCCGTGCAGCGTATGGGACGCTGATCACGTGCTTTGGAGACAATAAACTTGGCCGAGCCTTTCTGCCACCGAACCGAGCCAGTGGGCTTTCTGGGTAGTACTACTGAGGTCTGCTGAACCAACTATCTGTGCAGAGATGGGACAGCATGCAGTGAAAACTCACACGTACGTAGATGTGCAAAGCGAACACGCGTTCAAAAAGGACAGTGGGGAAACGTGGCCTGGAGTCTGTCCAGTGGACTCACACTTCAACTTGATGCATTAAAGATTAATGAGCCAACTGCTTTAGTGGGAACCATTCCAAAATTGTAATGAATTTCTGTTGCGGAGACACAAACGTTCCCAGTTGCTGCAAGAGGTGGGAATCCATTTGGAGGAGGAGCTGTTGCTTTTTCGAACACTACTGGGCTCTTTAAGTACCCACACATTTGGGTTTGAGAATAACGTTACTCAAATGATTACTCGGGTAACTCAAAACCATCCTGTGATGTAGGAACATCACGGGGAATTGCACCTTTCAACGTAAGCTGCACTCAGAGAAGTGTGAAAACTAATGAAAGGAAAACAAACTACAGATGCCCCCCAGGTTACGCAAACCCGACTTACGCAAATCCGCACTTACGGAAAATGTTCCATAACCTAGAAATAGGAAGGTTTTGTTTGTTTGTTTTTTTTGGCGTAATGGTCAGGTATACGTTTCCGACTTATGCAAAATTCGAGTTACGCAAGGCGTTCCGGAACGGAACGCTTGCATACGTCGGGGAGCGTCTGTAAAGTCATTATTGGGACCAATTCGGACTACGTGTACAAAGGTGTGACAATCTACCTTCCCTGGTAGAGTTCTACAAACTGTACAGGAACAGACGGGCCTGAGATTAAACACAAGCCACTATGGCAAAGATTAGAGAACCTGGCAATTAGCTATTAAAAAAGGAAAGTCAGAAGAGTTAAAATAAAGTCACATTAAAAAAAAGGGGGCCACTGCAGTGGGGAAAACGAACAAGCAGATAGATTAGCCAAAGCAGCAGCAATTGAGGATACTTGTGTGAAACCACCCCTGTAGCTGTAACCACCCATGCTCGGGCAAGGGAAGAACAAAAGAGAAGTAGAGAAAATCAGGAAGGAACACGGACGCTGCAGAAAATGCAAGATGACTTATCAAGCAATGGATTTCAGAATGCCCTTAAAAGCGGCATGGGATTACAGTAAATAAAAAAGAATTTACTCTTGGCCAATCCAGAGAACGACTGGGTTTTAGTAATTCCACAGCAACGACGACATTTATCGGTGATCTGGATACGTGACTCTCTTGGAGGGGGACACCCCAAGTTAGAAGAGGCTATAGGCTGGTGGCCAAGAATAAGGGAAGACATGGAAATGCATACACACCGCTGCTTAACATGTGCAAAACGAGATCTTGCACAACGAAAAAGAAGAGGTCAGCTAATGAATCAGGCTTCGAAAGGGCTGTTCCGAAGCCTGCGGGTAGATTTTGTAGGGCCACTGCCTATAACATCTAGGAAGAACTGATTTTTGTTTGTCATTGTGGATCGTTTCAGTAAGTGGGTGGAGGCATTCCCCACAAGAAAGGAAGGTAGCAATCTCACCGCAAAGCCTTAATGAGAGAAGTATTTCCTAGATGGGGTTTACCTCACAGTGTCGATTCCAATAATGGGCCAGCATTTATTGGACGTGTACCAAAGCATGGGAGCTCGGACTGGTATTCCCTTACCATTGCATATCCCATACCACCCTCAGGCCAGAGGACAAGAATAAATAAATCTCTTAAAATTGAGTTATCTACGGTACGTGATGAAGTAGGCACAAATTGGGATCTGGATCTCCCATGGGTGCCCATGAGAATCCGTAGTCGTCCAAACCATACGACTGGGCTTAGGCCACATAAAATACTGTTTGGAAGGCCTATGCCTGCATCAGAAAATCTATTATATCCCCCAGATTGGGAAGCCATAGCAGCATCGGCCACAAAAACCTGGACGAATAGTTTTAAATATTGACTGGGCCCGGTCCAGGGGTCAGCCGCAGCACCAGCAAAAAGTGAATCAAGCCTTTCCTGAAAATAGTGGCAATTAGGGACTAACTAATGGTTAAAACTGTCCCACCACCCAAAAAGAAATGGAATGGCCCGGTCCACATCAGACTATAAATAAACTGGGACCATCACTGTACCTGGTCAAAAGAGAGAACCAACCTCGGTGGAAACACGCCATGCAGTTCAAAGAGTTCAGGGCTTAAACTGTATGTTTTATTAAATTTGGGCCTATGGGCCGTATCGGCACCCCAGGCATTAACACAAGTAGCTTGGAATCAAATGGCAACCGTTGAATTAAGTAGGCCTTATCCTGTCAGACAAGTTAACTGGAAAAGCATGAATATGGTGGAAAATAGACAAGGTACTAACTATTTGGTGAAATAATAGATACACAACAATATGGAAAATGGAACAGGAAGGAAAGAAAACACTCTAGATGCTGGGTCCAAAGGTTGGATGGACAAGTGCCGGGCCTATATCCAACCAAATCCTAGTTTGTTTTTTTTGGAAATCCCATGACAGAAGATGAAATTTTGTTTGAATTGGATGTGGAGTGCTGGCAGGAAAATGGCTTTTGCGCTTTCAAATGTACCTCAATCAAATAAGGTTTACAATACATACAATTAAGCTGACTTTAAAAAAAAAAAAACAAGAAGTGATTGTTTTTGTTTTCACAGGTCATGAAATTAATCTGGATACGAGGACTTCTGAGTGTAATGGTAGTGATCCAACATGCAGAGGGACTGGCTAACACCCAAAGACTAAACCAGACACGTTCCGTGACCAGAGAATTTGGGTAGAAATTTCAAATAATCCTGCAGGAACGGTTCTAAATGTAATATGTGAAACAGAAGGAAGGCTGTAGTCAGGCTACATCATCAAAGAGTGGCTGAGGGGCCGGCAGCAGAGCCCTGTGCCCCTGCCGGCAGCAGAGTTCCGGGCGCGGGGCGTTAGCGGGGAGCCTGGGCCCGGGGCGGAAGCTGAGATGCCTGGTGTGGGCAGCAGTGGAGCCCCGCGTAAGCCGTGGGGGTGCTGCAGCACACATCTCTGCACCCCTAGTTTCCTGCCTATGTGAACTCCTTAACAGTTCATGTTTAACCGATAGAATTTTAACAGGTTAAACTGTTACTATTTTTAAACCCTATTTACATCCCTAGCCGTTACCCGTACTTTAGCTCCCAACACTGACTCAGCTGTTACAGAAAACACTGACACACCTGCAATTAACAGCCCCATTGTACAGGAATTCCCACAAGCTAAGGAAAAGGAAACCGGAATTCAGGAGAGGGAACAAGTCTCACAACACATCAAAGAGTGGAACGTCCAATTACAGCAATAGTACGGGATAACCTTACTTTGCCGTCTAATATTAAATCATACCCACGTGAGAATGCTGATGTAGCAGTTGATTTTATTTTAAAGCCGTCAACCCAGTCACGAACCATGTGGAAAGAATCATTAAAACATACAGGGCCTTGACAGACAGAGTAACTTTTATCAACATAGAGGATAAGTGCAGTGCATCCATTTGTATTATCTCCAGTTGGAAGATGAGGCTTTATACACAGGAATTTGAGTAACGTCTCCAGGTATTAGCAAATATATTTACCATGTGAGGGTATTACGGACCTGTCCGACCGTGGTACCGATCTTATCCCCGCAACTTAGTCTACCACTATCCCTGCTCCATCAATGAAATGCCCACATTTGCAACCGTGGCCGGAATTGGGCATCTTCCTACATCCTACCACTGAGTTCCTGGTGGAAAATGTGGGATGGATGGATGGATGTGCCACTCAAATTATAATTTCACCGGTATGGCT